TTTAAAGAGACAGAGACATTATGTTTACAACCTAATTGGGAATCCATACTGGGAGAAAATGTGGAAGATCAACAACTAATTGTATTTGACTCATCTCAATTGTTAAAAACAACAAAGATTGACATTCAGACACAATCCTTTAGGAAATATAACAAAGTGGCTAATAATCTATTCATAACATCGAGTAAATCATATAATACTCAGATGATACTGGCAGAAAGGGAAGAAAATTTTGTTCAGTTTGAATCGATTAGAAAGTTCTGTGATCAAATATTGAGGTTTGATAACCGAAAGGCTTTAATATGGGGATTAATTTGGTATAGAAAGAAAGCCAGAGTCAGGTATAAATGTGACATTAAATGTCATCTGATGGGTTAAAAAGGTTTTTCTTGGATATTAAATGTTATCTGATGGGTTAAAAGGGTTTTAAAGGTTTTTTCTTTTTTGTTGATTTAATAATGAATGAGGATGTGGATTTACTGTTAATGTATTTTCTTTTTTCTTTTTTCTGGACATATATTATTATGATAATGATGTTGTAACAACTGAATTTGTTTGATTTAATTATGAATGGTTGGGAATTAAGGCTTTAAAGGTTTTTTTGATTTTACAATGGTTGAAGTATTATAATTGATAAGTATTTGAAGTTGTAAACTTTATTAAGGGTTTAAATGATTTTTTATAGGGCTAGATTGATGAAATGTTAGAATATACTTTTTAGAAATTGAAATGCACTTATATTATTACTATAAATATGATAATCATGTTTTAATAGAGAGGAAGAGTTACTGGTGATACCTGCTGAATTGATATAGACTTTGGTGTATTTGAATTGCTTAAATGTATAATTTTTGCATTAATGTGGAGGAGATGGATTGTTTATAAATTGAGTTTGTGGAGTTAGAGATATTAATATTTGTTTACCTATATTTGAATATTAGCCTGGGATTTGGTTTGGGAAGTCCGGGGGGGTGGGATATAATATAATATTGTGTAATACTTGTGATGTTTTTTTCTTTTTTGGAAAACAATAAAATTTTATATTGGAAAAAAAAAATGACCATCCTTTCATTTGGAGCTAACAGGAATGTAGTTCAAGAGAACAAGATTGCAAGGCTGATGGGAGGGGAGGAATCAATCACTATAGCCTAGTTTAAGAAAGAAATCATTCCTCAAACACCTAATAAATTTGAGTTCTTGTTTTAAAACTGGTTTACTGTTATAGTTGGAAACAGTCTCGACGATAGTCCTCTACGTTTATTTTGGACATAGATTCCTGCACTAAAATCGTAAGTACCCATACGTACATACACATGCGTACACACACATACGTACATACATATGTGTGTTTCTCTCTTAGTCTTTCATTAGTGATACATTATGAATGACTTACTGGTTTGTCCCTATCGAAAGTATAAACATTTTGAGTGCTACTCCAAATACTTGATGCCAGCTGGAGTTTTTATTCCCAGTTCATCACATGTAGATGATTCAGTTACTGAATTGACAACACTGATGAATATGTTCCTCATTTCCTTCTTAGATAAAGCTTCTCCAAGCATATTGTTTGTGCAATGAGTAATTTCTTTGCCAAAGACACTTGAATATGGTCAAATGATCAGCATGTATATCTTTATGTATATTTTCTGAAAGAGCTCTCACACATCACCTACAATTCTTTAATTGCCAGTACTTGCTACTATAGTGAGCAATAGAAACAATGGAATCAGATTAACTGAAATAAAGAAATAGAATACCAAGTAATGTTTTTAAGACTAACAAAATAATATTTGTTGTTTCAAGACAGCATTACTGCCCACTGAGCATTTATATATTCTTTTAGACTGCATGGAACATATAAATGCACCACAAATTATGTTACATGAATCAAGTTGGAAAGGGGGAACCATGAGAATTGTTAGACAACATTGGAAAGACAAATCTATACCTGACTTTTTGCAGCAAATTATGCACATATGTCAACTGTTTCTTTATATATACAGCATGGGAGTGGATTTCTGGCAAGTTGGTAATGATCAAATTGGTAAGTTTCACTATCAATGACTGTTTTTTTTATATTTTAATGGCATTTTTTAATTTTAATTTCTTTTTTAAGAATAGTAAATCAATATAGATATTATAAGATAGATAAAAAGTATAGTATTTTTATAATGCATGACATAAAATATTGGGATGATGTACCTAAATGGGAAACTTTAGACAGTGAAGATGACTAATATAAAGAAATTATGACTGATAAGAATTGGATTGAAAATAAAGGAATCTAAGCGAACAAAAATTATAAAAATAGGATGCATGCTGAACTAATGAGATGATGGTTATGAGAATAATATAAGCTGAAAAAAATGTTATATAGAGAAATTATTATTATTCGTATAAATATAAAAAATGCCTATACCTAATCATTTATATATTGAAAATATTAAGAATTATATTTTGGCTAAGGCTGAAGAAGGAAAATACAAATGGGAGAAGGGAGGATCAAAGAAATGTATTATTAATTAATATATTAATTATAGAATTATCAAATTCAATCATTGACTGTTAATTATTACTGTCCTTTTTTTCTTGTTAAAATATAAACCAAGACAACATGCTGTATGCCAGGCACTAGAGATTGTTATAGTTAAAAACCAATAAAATATCTCTCTCTCTATATATATAAAATGAGGATTACCACTATTGTACTTTTGTTTTCATCCCCACCCCAAGAAAGAAAGAAAATTGTATTCAAGAATGTTAGGTTCAGTTGTTAGGTCCAGTATGAGCTCTGTCAGTGGCAGCTGTTATTCCTTCTTTCCAGGTTGGGCAGAAGTGAGGAAGAACAGCAGTGCTGCTTTGAAGATCCCAGACAGATATGTGCATGCTCTTCCACTGGCTACAGAGGAATAGGGCAACAGTAGGTATAGGAATAGAATTTCTAATTGGTATGTGTTTAATGTGCATTTATACAAAGCTATGCCTTCCCAGTGCAACATAAATTATATAGAGACAAAAGCACCATGGTATTTATGGGAGTATTGTGAAAAAGGAAAACAGGGAAGAAAGTGCATTTGGAGAATGAAAAGAGAGAAATAGCTAAGAGAGTCTTTGACTGGCTATTAAGATTATTTGTTTTAATCCCAATAGCGAATTTGGGGACTCAGAGTCAGTTGATTGGAGCAGCCTATAAGTTGTGTACCAAGAAAGAAATAATAATAAAGAAATTATTGCAAATCTAAACAATATTTAGAAGGGAGGGAAATGAACTTCCATATGTTCCTATTATCTGGAAAAGAAAGAAGATCTTTGATTCACTTTTCAAAAGCAATCTGCACGTCTGTCGTTTTTCTTTGGTTATCTCATGCGCTAAATTTATGCCGTGCTTGTGCTTGTTCTCAGCTGAAGTAGAACTGAGGGGGGAAAAAATGTATCTGTGCTACTGATTGATGGGCGCACCATTAAAGCGCTGAATGAGTTATAAAATGTTCTGTGGCTTCAGGAAATCTAATATATTCACAATCAGGATTCCCAGTAAACCTAAAGAAGTTTGTGGCTTCCAGTGCTTATAAACATTTTATAAGGGAAAGACTAGAAAGGCCAGAAACCATGCATTATTTTATAATTACATGAACTCATGGGAAAATAATAAATAAACCCAAGCAAAATAATAAAAACAAAGGATGAAAACAAATGGCATGCATATTCTGCCCCCCACCTCTAGCAATGTTTATTTTTTCTTTAACATCAGATGATCTGACTGAACAGCAAAACAGTTTATCCCCTTAATGTTGTTGTTTAAGCAATGAGTAAATAGAGCAAGTACTAAAGCTGGCTTTGCACCTACTGAATGCTGCAAGTGTTTGTACTCATTTGATATGCATCTAGCAAAGCTCGGCTGTTCCCAGAAGGCCACTCCGTGAAGGCTGAGAGAGCAGCGCCTGCTAGTGGTACCTGTAAGTCATAAAGAACAAGGAGGAGGAGGAACAAAAGGGATGAGGGGAGGGGGGGAGAAAAATGCAATGGAAAGACAAGTCAGAATCAACCCAAGAAGTCCATTCAGAAGAATTCTGTATCCCTGTGGAGAGCGTGCACCACAAATATCACATTATAATAGGAAGCATTAGCTTTTCCTTAGGAAAATGATTTCCTTAGGACAGGGGTAGGCAACCTTGGCTCTTTTATGACTCGTGGACTTCAACTCCCAGAATTCCTGAGCCAGCCATGCTGGCTCAGGAATTCTGGGAGTGGAAGTCCACGAGTCATAAAAGAGCCAAGGTTGCCTACCCCTGCCTTAGGAAAAGGATCAGAGTAAAATATAGAAATATTATGAATTTTTTTTTGGTAGCAGATCATTATTTCCAGCAAACTAGCTTAAGAATAGATCAATAATTGCTTACTACAGGAAGTACCAGGAGGCTAAGTGTGAAACATACCAATTTTTTTTAAAAAAGTAATGTATACATTATTTAGGACTGGAAGATTTTAGTTTAAAGAATACCGTAATCATATAAACTATAAAGGGGCAAAAAAAAATTCTGATTTATAATAATACAGATTGGATTAAAGAAGCAGTAACAATACCTGTAGCATTAAGAGGGCATCGGTTGAATGCCATATCCCCTGCCGGCGTCCTTTTCCAAACGAATGATATCAAATAATCCTCAGGACATATTTCATAAGGTGCTGCAATTTAAAAACACTGAATATGAATTGTGGACTTGGCAAGTACATGCAGTGAGAATAATTGATCAGTTGAATAGCTTGCCTCCAGGAGTTGTGGGTGCTGGAGAGTTTAAAAAATAGACTGGGCAACCATTTGACTGGAATGGCATAAGGCTCATGCCTTGAACAGGGGACTGGACTGGAAGACCTCTGAGGTCCCTCCCAGTCCTATGCTTTTATGTTCTAAGTATAACACTGTGTGATACACCACCTTGCAAGTTGCAGGACTCTGTAAGTTTCCAGGTAAAATGCAAAGGGTTTGCTATCACTTATAAAGGTTTACAGAGATGGCCCTGACTTTGATGGTCTTCTCTAAATGTCTGGAAACCTGGTTCTTTCCCCCCAGAGAATGGGCAAGCATATGAGATGAGCATTCAAATTGGAAGAAATGTAAAATGATTTGGCTTGTATATTCTGCACTGTTTTATTTTCTGTTCTGGGTGTTTTATGTATTCTCATAGCAGAAGACAACACTATCATTCCATCAGCACGGTCAATTCAGTTTCTGACTGATGCTTTTTTTAAAAAAATAAAAAAAAACCAATAGCTATTTTTTTTAAAAAAAATCACTTTGATTGCCCTTTAGGTCACTGAGAAATAGGACCCATTTGAACGGCCTTGCCAAGGCAACCTATGGTCTCTGTAAAGTTCCAGAGGAAGCTTGGAATTTTCCCTGAGGATATGATAGACATTCAGTTAAAACCTTGGTCACATCATGGAATGGGCTATGAATGAAGCCTTGGATTGATCTACACCGCCTCTCTCTCTGCGCTGATCCTAGTTTTAGTTTTATAAACAGTTCTGGGAAACAAAGGACCAGAAGAGATGCCTGGAGCATCATTAGAGGAAGAGAAAACTTGACCAAACCTGATCAAGAGCCCATATATTATATTGTGCCGGTAATGGTGGCAAAGTGTCATTTCACTGCCTTTATGCATCCATAGATAGATTTCCAATGGCTCTGATCAGGTTGTCTCATTTCTTGCTGAGTAGGGATGAGTCACAGGAACATCTACTGGGCTGCTGGAAGAATATTCTAGTGACCTCACAGACAAAATCATTTAGATTTGCTGAGTGTCGGACTCCAACTAGGCAAGTGCAACTGAGCTACTTGGTGGATGGTCTCGTGGGTTTCCTTGTGTTGGGCTTCAGTCTATAACTCCATATGAAGTGGACGGGTTCCTTCAAACTGTGAACTCAGTCACCTCTTTCTTAGTTCCAAACCTTTCCTGGGTATTTAAAGTTGGCCTGGAAGTGATTCATGCAGTAGTATCAGCTTCTCTCAGAAAGCGGGTGGTTCCTTTGACCCTCCTTAACAAACCATTGCTGGACTCAATAATCTTGGACATTTTTTTTTTGTAGTCTCCAATAGGGAAGGTTGTTAAGGAGGTAGGTGGGCAATAGTTCCAAAGTAACATGGAGGAAATGGATTATATGGACCCTTTCCAGTCAGATTTCAGGCACAAATATAGTATAAAAACAACACGGGTCGTGCTTGTTAATGACTTTTGATGGTGCCAGGATGGTGCATTCATCCTTGTGTTCTTTGATCTCTCAGAATTGTGATACTGTCAATAATGGTTTATTTCCTTATGGTCTATTTCAATCGCTATTGATGAGATGAGGAAAAGGTTGGATTCAGACAGCTTCACCATTCCTGAGAAACATCCACATGAAACCAGTGGGTGAGATAAATTGTTATAGGTATCTACCCTCCGGAATAACATTTTCCCAGATATCTGTGTGACTCCCATCCCGATGATGTTCCAAAAGGCACTGAAAAGCTCTGCAGTTCTCCCAGGCCTTGGGACAGGGTGGTTGGTGAATTTGATTTTGTTCTACGGGTAATCCTCGACTTACAACAGTGTATTTACATGACCATCCAAAGTTACAATGGCACTTTAAAAAGGGAGTTACGATCGTTTTTTCACACTTATGATCATTGCAGCAGGCCCATGGTCATAGGATCAAAATTCAGACACTTGGTAACTGACCCGCATTTATGATGGCTGCAGCGTCCCAGCCGTCACATGATCATTTTTACGACCTTCTGACAATCAAAGTCAACAGGGAAGCAAGATTCACAACCGTGTTCCTCACTGAACAACTGCAATGATTCGCCTAACAGCTATGGCAAGAAAGGCTGTCAATGGGGCAAAACTCACTTAACAACTGTCTCACTTAGCAACAGAAATGTTGGGCTCAATTGTGGTAGCAATTTGAGGATTACGAGTATTTTATATAGTTTCTTTCTTCCTGGACATAAATATGCTTTTTTAAAAAAATATATTGTTGTGTTTTTTTTATTCGATGAAGTGCAAAGAGTTGTTAGTTGCTGTTGTTTAGATCAGGGTTCCCCAACATTTCCAGCTTCGTGACTGGTGGGGTGGAAGGGGATAGTTCACGCAAGCAACTAGCAAGCGTGCACACAGCTCCATTTCTGCAAGCGGCGTGCATGCATGCCTGCTGCTCGTGCAAATGGAGTGTGCGCCTGCTGCTCGTGCAAATGAAGATGCACATGCGCGTGGGCACACTCACCAGCCATTTTGCAAACCCCTCACTGCCCACAGGTAGGGGACCCCTGGTTTAGATCTATATCAACAAGTTAAAAAATAGCAGATTCATGTATCTAATTACTGTCCTTGACCCAATTGAATTTTATATTTAAGCCAAGGGTAGGCAACGTTGGCTCTTTTATGACTCGTGGACTTCAACTCCCAGAATTCCTGAGCCAGCATAGCTGTCTACCCCTGATTTAAGCAATTGTTTTCTAAAAAGTATTTTGACAACATATTTCATCTTTGAAGAAACTAAGAATCTGCAAGGCTTCCCAGTGATGCACTTGCTTCCAGGGTCATTTCTTTTTTACTTCTAGGAATGCTTCTAGGCCCAAGCTGAGTCCATGGACTTCTTAATTTAAAAAAAAAAAAAATAGATGAGTAGCCTAGAACTTTGTCTAAAAGTATGCTGATCTGTTGCAAAATAAGGCAAATGGTAAGAGGGTTTTGTAAAAAGCATTTTGAAGACAGGTTGGAGAGTATGACCAAGAACATTCTGTATATTGGTGCTTCGTGACTAGTTACATTCCCCACTGCAGCCATTTTATGAATGGGCAGCCTCCCAATTGCATTGTGAGAGCAGCGATAACATGCTTTCAAAATTAAATGGAAGACATTCCCCAAAGTACACCTGCCATTACTTTTCTTTAAAAAGGAAAGTCCTTCAGGTGCCATGAGACTCTTTTAGTATATTTATATAGTAATCCATTTAGTATTTTAAAATCAGGATTTGCATTCACGTCTGTAAACACATCGAACAAAGCTGTGCATTTTTTCTGCTACTACAGCTTTACTAATTCAGTGTGTGAACATTTTTATGGGACGCTACCTTGGGTTTTTTTGCCGAGATGGTAAACACATCTAGTGGAAATGCAACTTACGAAAGCAAGAAATGCGCACTTTAACAGATGACAAAATATCCCTGCAGATGTTTCTCGAAGCTAATGTGAAGTGCATGAAATAGGTTGCTAAAATTACTTCAGTCAAAGCTCTTTCAGATCATGTCAAGAAAGCTGACAGCGCCACAAGAGCAAGAATATATCTTAATGGCAAACATTTAAGAAAGGGAGCTGTTTTCACTTCATCTTAACTGCAAAAAAAGAACTGATCTGAAGCATGGGGATTTTTTTCCCCCTGGGATTCACACACAGTGCTTCTTCTTATCCTGAATGTAGGGCAGGCTACAAAGCTGGCTGAGGAATTCTGGGAGTTGAAGTCCACAAGTCTTAAAGTGGCCAAGGTTGAGGACCCCTGATGTAGGGTATGAGCATGACTGCACATAGTTCATTAAATGTTAAAATATTTTTTTTTCAGGTTCATAGCGCCGGGACTGATCTCTTACAATTTGATCTATGTTGCTTTTATTTTTTAAAAAAACCCACACCTTATAATCAATATATGCAGTTAACTATGTGCATAATCAGACTTCATAAACAGGTTTTTTTCTTTTTTAAAAAAAACCTATCTAAAATAAAGGGATGCAGTGATACATTGCCACAGAGGTAAAAGCCACAAAAGAAACAAAGAAAGCTGCTTTATCCTACCCTGTTGCATTTGTTCTTTTAGCTTAATATTAGCTTCCCTCAACAGTAGAAACTCCCAAGTTTCATGCAGAGATCTCTGGTCTCTCCTCAGTTTTAACTAGTAATATCAGGGCTTGAATTTGTACACTTTCAACATGCAAAACACTGTTCTAACAGTGAGGTGCACTCGGTTTTGCTTTGAACAGCAGACTGAAAGTGAATTTATATAGGCTCTGAAAGTTAGCTGGTTAAAATGGGTGGCCATTTAAGTCCAATAAAGGAGCAAAACAAATACAATATCTACCTTCACAAAACCACACTAATGTACCACCGAAAGAAACAAAAAGAGGAGCCTGACTTTACTCCGTATTGTAAAAAAAGCATTACAAACAAAACAGTCCCTATTTAAAAGTACATTGCTCATGGTACAGCTACAATAAGAATGTAATCCAAGTTATCCTGAAAATACCATCAAGCATCTACAATTTGATCTGAGCTATACTTTTTACAGTGTGTGGTTTAGTGATTAAGGTGCAAGATTAGAATTTAAAAAAAGACCCAGGTTTGATTCTCTACCAGGGAACCACACTGGGTAACTTATGGCCAGTCACTTTCTTAATTCAACCTGCCTCACAGGATTGTTATTGTAGGGAAAGCCTGGAGAAAATGTTATAGATATTGTCTTGGGCTTCTGAAGGTAAGATAAGATATAAATCTATCCAATAACTAAAATGTATGCTATGGTGTCTTCCTCCTTTATACCACAGTTATTTGGTATTAAAATATGTGTATATTGTATTTTCTCTTTCCTACTCTCCCTCGCTCTCACTTTCTCTTTCTGAACAGAAATGCCTAGCAGTCAAGTAACATCAGATGATAC